AGCTCCTCTCTTTCACTAGCACAAATCATTTTTTTTTCTGTTTCAGACGTTCATGCTCCAAAACGAAGCATTTGTATTTGATTCTCGCATTGTTAACAACTTCGTTTGCTCATAATCAAGGGTATAAAAACTTTCGTAATAAAAAAGCTACGTCAATAATATTTCTCATTACATTAATGTACCTCTTTCTAGGAGCCTAATCCCTTATCCCCGCATTTTCTTCTCAAGTAACCTTAATCCCTTTCACCCGATTCTTTTACTCACCAATCATTTTAACCACCGGAAAGAAATAAGCACCACCGGAATAAGCAACAATAAAAGAAAAGAAAATGAAACAAGGAGCTTAGTTGAAATGAGTTTAGTATGAGTGTTCAGTTCAATTCATTTCATTTGAATTGACGCAACAAACTTAAGCATTAACCATATTTATAAACCTTTGTGATTTCCATTATTTAGCAGTAGAATGGAAATTTTTGCATGCGAAGAAACCCCATAATAAGAAGATCCAGCATTATGATGTTGTAGGAGTTTAAAGACAAGACCAGAACCTTATATTAGACTGAACTAGTAATACTACTGGTTCTGTGGGAATATTGTAGGAAGCTTATTTTTGCACACGCACATCATTGTGCACTTCATCACGCATTCCATTGCGCACATCCTAACCCTTTAACTAAACAGTCGTTAGATAGTCATTCTGTTGATTCTTCCCACGCAGCTAATGTGATGAAAGCTGACGAGGCAGACGGCCTCCTCATATATGTTAAGTGTCCTGTATTATGTCCTATATGTGAATAAATGTTGTTTAATGTAGTTCTGCTCCTTGCCTTTTCCCATAATATCTATAATGTGAGACATTTCTAAAAGTTTCAGAGCAGTACCTAAATCCAATGTTTTAACTATAAGTTTTAGTGGTGTGCAGGAGATGTTTTTAGGACTGCTGACAGCTTTACTAAGCTGAAGTAGCAGTTAATTCATTAAGCAATAAGGGTATTTTGGAAATAATTACAATCCCATCAAGGAAGACAGACCATCATGGTAGAAAGTTTTAACTGCTGGAAAAAAAAGTGCCTAAAATTCCAGATTAATAAAACCTGCCAAGATCGAGGTAATAGTAACAGAAAAACTCGCCTCATAATAAAAAAAATAGATAGGATTAAAAGATTCAAGAAAGTTCTTGATATATTGTAAATATTTAAAATGATCCAAACACTCCAAACATAAGCATCACGTGGTTCCAGTTAACAATTAAAACAGTTAAATTCGACTCGATGATTTTTCTTAGCCAGAGGTGTCGAACATAAGGCATACATGCAATTATGTGGCACGTGGCAAGTATTTTGGCACTACTCGAGGAATGCATATTGAAGTACATTCATTAGCATTCACGAAAAACAATATTTTAAAAATAAAATCTCCAACACTATCCGTTATCATTGGTGGATTCAAAAAAAAAGCTATTAAGGGTTTCATTATTTTTTGTCGTTATACCCCCATGTAATACCCCATCCACTATGGATTCTACTACATATATAGAGAAAATTGAATTTCCTTCGAAAGTGCGATGAGATATATACAGATACCCCACACTAAATTGTGAACTATGAATGTAGTAATATATTAAACAATGTCATTGGGTGGTGTTTTAATATTGTATTTTGCATAGTAGACTTTAAAAACACCTTCTTGTTTTACATTTAAGTGAATCTTTGCGTATGTTAAATACAACAAGTTATGGCCTAATAGTAAATAGCATGACTGATAAAATATAGCAGCAAGTGCCTCCCTAAATGGGATTAAATATCTGAAGATTTTTTGAATGTTATATACCATGCTGCATTAGTATAAACATGTTTACAATATTAAATGAACGTAAAAATTCAAAGTAAAGTTCTTATTTATTAAAAACGTTTTAAAGAGGCACAAAAAGGCAACAAAGTATACACTTTGAATTGTAATACGTTTAATTTTTATACTATAAAAAATAAAGGTATCTAACATTAATTAAATCAATTTTATTCTATTTCGCTTAACCCAAAGGGATACCACTTTTTGATACTTCATCTCAATTTAATGTTAATCTAAAAGAAAATGCAAATATTGTTGATTCGATTTCTATTAGAAATATGTTGACATGCTAACGCGTAAATGGAAAATATTGCAACGTAATACAAATTCTAGATTTAGAAATTAAAGTGCAACAGTTTAAAGTTTATTTTTAGAAGAAAAAAAATAACAAGTGGCACACTAGACACCCGAAAGTGCAATTGAACTGGCACATTAATCACAAAAGGCTATCTCTGTTCTAGGCATAGAAGAGTCACACTGTGACAGAAAAAGGAAACAGGTGTGTACTCTTAAGTCACTGATGGTTCACTGCCATACAAGTGAAAATTATTATTGTTAATGTTTTTTTTAATTTACGTCGAGCTAGAGCTAAATTATTAAAACGCTTTATTGCTGTATTAGAATTATTTGACTGGAATAACCAGAAAATTCGGGTTTCTGACTGCTGGAGAATAAACTATTAGCTAACTTTTTTGAACTCACAAACAACCATCAAGTACTACAACAATTTCCCTAAAGGTAGGAGGGTAGGTAATTTATTTACGTTGCACTAGAGGGCACAATAGGCTATCGATGATGGTCTGGGAAACATCCCTGAGTATGATCCGAAGACGTGCCATCACAATTTTGATCCTCTGCGGAGGGAGCGGCTCTTCCGCTCTGACAGCCCGACGACCTGCACACGAAGTCGAGCACTTTTCAGCAGAACAATTTGACGCTTACCAATACCGCTCAAGCTGATCAAAGTGGTCACCCACCAGCTTACTGAAAGCAGCTAGTGAATGCTTGAGTTCGATGTTCTACTGGAAACGGAGTCTTTATGATAGCTTAAGGAAATGAAAAATTTTTGAGCACTTTATTGCAGTTTTAAAATTAAATAGCTGGAATAACCTTTAAATTCAGACTTTTGACACGGAACAGTGAACACTTAGCTCTAGCTCACAAACGAGCATCATATAAGACAATTTTTCTTAAGAGTCTCAGTGCTTATGAGTGAAAAGTATAGTACATGAAAAGTATGAGTGTAAAATATAGCATTACAGAAACAAATTGATTACCTAAAATCTGTGGTCTAAGCCTGTAACTGAAAGAATTACCATTATAGTAAATCAACATACTAAATCTTCAGATACTGTTTCGCCAGAGAAGGTCACCGGTTTGTTTTCAGAAACCAAAATTCATTAGCATAACTAAATAATCAAATAAGTGTTTAGTTAAGCTCTAGAATGTGCTGAGGTTCTTTACTTCCAACCACTTGTGCCGCACTCTTTTCTTGTATGCACACTCTTACTCGTATTACTGTGTTCACTCTTTCATATTATTGTATTTACTCTACTCGTATTATACTTCGCTCGACTAGTATTACTTCATGTCACCATTCGTATTACTAATTCATTCGGCCACCACTACTCACTTAAAAGCAATTAGCAAAACCAAAGCGTCTACTTGTAAGCCAAAAACGAATCTAAATCTGATACTGTTGCATTTATTTTATTTATTTTAACATGTATTTTTTACATGCATTCTTTGTAGTGTAATGTAAAAGTTAGGAAGTTGAAAATTTTAATTTATTTATTTACATATTTATTGTTACACATACGCAGACTTGTATGCAATATACTTGTATGCTGTAGCTTGTGTGCTCATTACAAAGAACGGCTTACAATCATTTGTAATATTGAATAACATAAGACAAAAGAAGGACAACACAAAAATTTACCCTGTTTTAGGGCGGGATTCGAACTCTCGATCTTCACATTGCGTAGCGTTTGGTGAAATGGTGAGATAACTCGGCCATTGAGGCCTCGGACTTAAGAGTTCTAAAATTAAATAAGTGTTCTTCTACAGTTCTAGCTCATTTACGTCGCACTGGAGCTGCACAATGGGCTATTGGCGACGGTCTGGGAAACATCCCTGAGGATGATCCGAAGACATACCATCACAATTTTGATCCTCTGCAGAGGGGATGGCTCCCCTGCTTCGGTAGCCCGACGACCTGCACGCGAAATCGAGCACTTTATGGTAGAACAGTTTAACGGGGAGCAATACCGCACACCCTCGGTCCCTACGCAGACTGATCCAATTGGTCACCCACTCGCACACTGATCGCAGCCAGTGATGCTTGACTTCGGTGATCTGGTGGGAACCGTGTCTTAACGATCAGTCCACTGCGGGACAATTAAATAAGTGATCTAGGCTCTAATAAGATGCATGTTAAATTTTCTGTGAATTTGTGGGAATTAGACTCGGCAAAAAATAGGGATAGGAAAAGCAATGAAGCGGTGACAACCGAAATTTTTCACCCTTCAAAATTTGCTCGTTCCTTTGCAACCGGGTAGAGGGTTCGAATCCCAGTGTTACCCTGGATGTACCTCCATGCTGTCTTTCTGTGTTTCGTGCTACCCATTCTTCCACGGGACAAAAGTTTATAAGCTTGCAAATATAAGATACCGCGATATAAGATACTGCGACCAGTAGAATTTTTCACGTTTTTATATAGTAAAGAAAGTTTTCATTTAAAATAATATTTTGTTGTAACAGCAAGTTTTTGACAACACCATATACAGAGATGTGTTGTGTGATGGTTCAAAAGCTTTTTTTAAAAGCAAATATGTTTAGTAAAACACACGGTTCCCAGCAGATCACCGAAGTCAAGCATCACTGGCTGTGGTCAGTGTGCGGGTGGGTGACCACTTGGATCAGTCTGCGTAGGGACCGAGGGTGTGCGGTGTTGGTCCTCATTAAACTGTTCTACCGTAAAGTGCTCGACTTCGCGTGCAGGTCGTCGGGTTACCGAAGCGGGGTGCCATCCCCTCTGCAGAGGATCAAAATTGCGATGGCGTGTCTTCAGATCATCCTTAGAGATGTTTCCCAGACCGTCGGCAATAGCCCATTGTGCAGCTCTAGTGTGACGTAAATGAACTACAACAACGACAACTTTAGTAAAACATACGAAATTTGATTAAATTTAAAATTGTTTATTAATAAATTCCATTATTATCGATTAACTTTAAAAACGCCTTTCGTTAGTAGGCTTGTTAGAATAATTGAGATTGATATGACTTGATTGCTTTACGAACTTTTCATGATTTTTTTTCTGAATTTTCTTGATGGTTATAAGGTTTTGGCTTGTATCATAGAGTGAAAGGGTAAGTCAAATTGAGAAATGTATTTTGGTATATAGTAGATTTTTTCTGTTGCACAAAAACTTTCAAAACTTACTTTGAATGTTACCTGTGTTGTCATAAAGTTGTGAGTTCTTTGCTAGCTAGAAATTTAGAAGAGAAGAAAATTTAACAATCAATGCAGTATTTCAACATACAATACGTATTGAAAAAATTTAGCACTTAAATAATACTATAGTAAGAAGTATGCAGAAATAGAAGCAATTTTTTATGAATTCAAAAAGTAAGGAATGGTGAAGGTAAGAAAATTAGTCACTTACGGGAAATAAGTCTGTCAATATTATCCTGGCGCTTTAAGGGTTAAAGTGAATTTTAAAATAATAAATTTAAAATATTATTTAAATAAAAGATGGAAAAATGAATTTTACCGATAGTCCAAATTTAAAGAAGTTATGCGGTTAAAAACAAAACTTTTAAATATTTTCAATGTTGAAGATTTAAGATTCACTTTCAGAGAATAATGGTAAACTGAATTTGCAATTTCTACTAATTTCCTAGCTATGCACTAATCTTTCGCCAATTAATTTTAATAATTTTAAGCGTAAAGTGTTATTTCACCAAAATTGTAACAACATCGAAATAAAATTAATTTGTTAATATGATAATAAGAAAGCTTATATGCTAATGAGTATGCTAGTATGCTACTAGCTAATTATATTGGGTAAAGTTTCGATAATCTCATTTTTGGAATAGTTTCTGTATTATGTTGTACTTTATCATTCATAATTCTCCACTTCATTGCTTTACTTTATTCTTATTGTTATTATTACTTTCATTATTTTATGGTATTATGTTTTACTTCATCATTCATAATCCCCCACTTCATTTATCATTTTTTGATTATAAATTCATTGTAACCAAAGACAAAAAAAATCAGACTGAAAAATAAAAAGCATATTTAATAAATAGTTTAACCTCACTCCACGTTTACCAATACATATTTGAATTAAGATATGAGTGTTTTAAATGTGAATAAAAATACTCGCATGAAAAGTTTCTTTAAATTTAAATTCAAGTTCAAAATAGAGTATTAGAAAACTTCATGACATTTAATTTCACTGAAGCAGATCATTTTGCGAAACTCCAACTTATTGAATCGAACCTTTTTACATTCAGAAAAAACTTTAGAATTTCTTTTTTTCGAAAATGATCACTGGTTTGCCATTCGCGTAGTATTTAATATCAAATATAAGCATAAAAATGAAGTATGCAATCTTTGACAGCTTATTTATACGAGAAAAATTTTGACATCTCCCTACCAGTTATTTGACAGCCGGAAGCAAATACCAATTGTGTAAGCCAAAATAAAATTTATGTCAAATACTAGAGTTAAATGAAGCAACCAGCCTACTTTTACCTACACTTACTTTTAATTTAAGAACATGTACCATCTTGACTAAAGCTGAAGCATGTGGGAGTTGATAGTTTTCAAATTTTTGTGACCAATTAAATGAATTAAATAGATTTTCTGTCGTCTTAAAAATTTAAAAGCTCTATTTTTGAGAACTTCTATTGATATTGCTCATGAAATTATCTTGCCTTCACACATCAAGAATATCATTGCAAGGAATTTCACCTTGCTTTCACAAATGAAATTAAAAACTGAGATTGAATAAGATTTTTTTTCCAAGAAATCTCTTAAAATTTTTGTAAAGCTCAATTTTTTCAAGAAAGCAAACCGTTTTCTGAACAAGATATTGTTACATTTCAATGATATTTGTCATATAGTTTTATAATATTTCATACAAAATTTTTAAAAAAAGAAATGATTTTTTTTTTTGCTTCAAAAATAATTTACACATTTTTCACTCTTGTGGTATAAAGATACGTACATGCGGTCCGTAAACATACTGTATGCTGCGGATACAGTATGTTTACAGACTATTCAGTGGTATTTTTAAATCTTGTGGTATGCAGTGGATACAGTAATGTTTGCTGACTATTCAGAAGTTTTTTACCGGTACCTCACCACTTTATACCACCACGCTTGTGGTGGTATACAGTGGTGAGGACAAAGTACTTGGTAACAATGCAAAGTCATATGTACAAAACCTCACTACTGATACAGTGGTGAGGACAAAAATCTTGCAAGAATGAGTGGAAACTGATGAATATATAGTCGAACCTCCATTTAACGAGGTTGCTAAATCCCGATAAGTTCGTTATATGGAAAACTCATTAAATAGAAAATCGCCTTTTAAAATGCTTATGCAACACAAAACAGGTTTTAAATTCATAAACACTAGACATAATTAAAAAAGCAATTGATACACCTTTATCTTGTAAACTAGTATCTACTTTTTATTTTATATATCTTAGTCACAAAAGAAATTGACATTGAAAACAAGAATAGAGCAAAACATTATCCAGTGTTACACTATCAGTGTTGCACTTATACATTTTAAACTAAAAACAGCTACATTTATGCATAAAATTCTGACTGTACTTATTTGCTGTATAAAATTATAACTCCAAAGTAATTTTAAATAGGGAAAGTGGAAGTTGAATAGAGAAGTGGGAAATAGGGAAAGTGGATCTCAAGGAAAAAATTCGTTAAATAGAAAATTCACGTCGTTATTTGGAAGTTATTTTACGTAGAAATTTCCAAAATGTTCTTGGTTCCTCAAAAAAATTCACAAAATAGAGAAATTCGCAAAATGGAATAATTCGCAAAATGGAGAAATTCGCAAAATGGAGAAATTCGCAAAATAGAAAAATTCGCAAAATGGAAGTTCGTTAAATGGAAGTCCGACTGTATATCATTAGATAAGTATTCTTTGTACCACTAAACTAGTGAAAAACTACACAACAAAATCGAAACAGCAAAAACAAAACTGCATGGAACACAAAAGAACCTCTTTTTTTGTTAGTAGTTTTACAGTATTCAGTAGTTTTTTTTTTCCTTTTCTTGCTCCAAATATAGTTTACACATTTTTCAGATAATGCCATTCTTGCGGATATACAGTGATGAAAACAAAATACTTGCAAGACTAAGTAAAAACTAATGAATGCACAACCTTCAGTAAATATGACTTTATACGACTAAATCACTGTAAAATGACGAACAAAAACAGAACCGTTGTTTTGTTATCCGTATAGTCCTGATTTCGTTTTGTCGTTTTTATTCTGTTTTGTAGTTTTACACTGGTTTAGTAGCACAAAGCCATATATTTATCTAATGATATATATTAATTAGTTTCTACTCATTCTTGCAAGAATTTTGTCCTCACTACTTGTATACTACAGGAGTATATATGGCTTTGTACCTCGAATCCAGTGTAAATTTACTAACAAAATAAGAAATGCTATTTTGTGCTCCCTGAGCAAAGTAGAAAATTTAATTATGAATAACTATTGATCTATTAATCACAATTTCACATACTTTGATGCAATCTTAATTATAATGATGTGCAAGGTAAATTAAACGGCAAATTAAATATAACGGTAAAGGAAATTTAACCCATGATCTATTTATTACTGAGGATATTTTATATTAGCATTGTGGTCGGTGCGAGCCGGGTGCGGAATTCGTATTAATCAGACATCATTAGGATTCAAACCCGGGGCACCTCAATGGAAGGGGAGCTCTCTATGCCCTGATCACCACGGCTGCATTTGTTCATTTGATCATTTTCATCAAGTTTACATTTACTTATATACAAAGAATTTACAAATTCAGATATTTAAAAGTTTTAATTTTTTGGCAAACACTATACAGTAGAAGAAATTTTGAAATTTCCACCCAAACTTCTCTCCAAAAATTGGTGTTAAAAATCAAAGTAATTCTTGATAATAAACTAAATTATTTTTTTTTATTTAATATTATTACCAAATGAGTTTTAACATAACATTACAAGAAAAAAAGTTAGCCCCATAAATGCTTAATAGTTCAACAGTCGATTAGTTATTTAAACACATAAATTCCGTCATCTCTAAGTCGAGATAAGACCAAATAGTAAAATAAAAATGAAACTCCTAATCATAAGCTTTCATTTAATCATCAAACTCATATATTCTGCAAACAGTTTTAATTAAAATAGTCAGATTTAATATGCAGTTTAATTTAAGTAGAAAATAGATGAAAAAAATTATAGAGCTCATTAAATTCGATAGGCTTTGTTTGAAAACATGAAGTACACATCATTTTTAGAATTTTTCTATTAAGATTTCCCGATTGAATTTTTTTTTAAACATAAAATTAGCTTTTTTTGTTGAAACAGATGAGTAACATAGATACATGCGTACGCGTTATTTAAAAAATAATAATTACGTAAAATGAGGAATTTTGTAACATTTAAAAAAATAATTTCTTATTTTAATGAAGAATTTTCACTTTAACTTTAATTACTGTTTCTAGAAAAAAAACTCTCGCAAGATTAATTCTGAAATATTGAAATCTTACTGAAAATTAAATATCTAATAAAAAATTTTAATTAGACATCTATTCATACTCTTTCTAAAATTTCAATCGGACATTTAATGAAATTTCTGTGATTAATTCATGATACTCAAAAATATTAGCTCGGTTTTTTTTGTTTTTTTCTTTTTAATGATGCTTTATTATATCAAAGTTCTTTTAAAGGGTGGCTAATGGCACAAACTAATGCAATTTTAAAGAAGTTAAGCGATATACATTTGATTTTCACTGAGATTAAAATTTCATATTCAAATATAACTACGTAGCTTTAGATTGTTTTATAAAAAGTCTCGAAACATCTATCATTTGAAATTCTCAATTTAGGATTATTTAAAATTATAGAAATTATGTAAACTCATCTCAGATCACGTTCATGATTATTGATCTTCGCTTAGCGATACATAATCCAATAAAACTCTGAAGTTTAAACTTCACAAATTAAACACCACAAACCACAACAAATTATTAGTCTCTGAATCAGGACTATTTCATGCCATTCTAAACATGCAGTGAAAAAATGTTGAGTGTGTTAAATACAAAACACAAT